CATCAACACAGTGTTCCTGGCTTTACTAGGAGGGAATGGCCACAAAAAGTCTACCCCCAACATTTCCCCTGGTGCACCAACGTCTGGCGAATCGAGGTGTCCAGCAGGCTTCTCATTAGAGCCCTTGTATTTTTGGCAAGTTTGGCAGGCCCTGACATGACTCCATACATCTGTCCTTACTGTTGCCCACCAAGCCACTTCCAAAATTCTTAGAAGTGTTTTAAGCCTTCCCAAGTGGCCTCCCACTGGACTGTTATGGTAGTAGGTGAGGAAATTTGCTGCCAGATCGGCCGGGACAACCAGTTGGTAGTTGAATCTTCCATATTTGGATAGAACGCCCCAGTATAAAACACCTTGTCATCACTGGCATCACAATGTACCTGGAAGCCAAGGTGTGACTGTGGCTGAGTGAGGACTGGTGGAGACTGCAGCATTGTTTTGAGGTGTTCGAATGATGCTTGACACTCTGATGACCACTCCCAAGGTACATTCTTTTTTTAGATTATTCAGGGTAGCAACCAAGTCTGCCAATCTGGGTATAAATTTGTGGTACCAGCCCACTAAGCCAAGAAACCTCTGCAGACCCTTTAAGTCAGTAGGAGGTGGGTAGTCGGAGATGGCCTGGATTTTACTTGGGTCTACCCCACTCCTTTTCCAGAGACCACATGGCCGAGGAATCTAAGATGGGTCTGAAGCAGACAACATTTCTTTATGTTTAAGGTGAGGTGAGCATCATGGAGCTTTTTAAACACAGCCTCGAGATGTTGCAGATGTTGTTCAATAGTGTTAGAGAACACTATGATATCATCGATGTAAACAAAACAGTATTTTCCTTTTAGTTCTCCGAGAACTGTTTCCATTAATCGTTGGAAGGTGGCACCAGCGTTCCTCAGGCTGAAAGGTATTACCGTAAACTGGAACAAACCTTTATGAGTAATCATGGCGGTTTTTTTTCTTGCTCTCTTTGCTCATGGCAACCTGCCAATAGCCACTCTTGAGATCTAAGGAACTGAAGAATTGAGCACTTCGCAGAGACTCTAGGATCTCTTGCACCAGTGGCATAGGATATGCATCATGAAGAGTCTTTATATTGAGTCCACGAAAATCCACACAAAAGCGTGGTGTGCCATCTTTTCGTGGCACCAACACCACTGGCGCTGCCCATGCAGAAGTTGATGGTTCAATTATGTTGTTTTGCAGCATTTTTTTCAGTTCAGCCTCAATAACAGCTTGTTTTTGGGGTGACACCCTGTAAGCTCGGCGTCTCACAGGAAGCTCGTCGGATGTCACAATGTGGTGGCTAATGATCTCGGTGGCTCCAACAGCCTCTGTCCAAATGGTGGGCCACTTCTGCAGCAGTGACCACACCTCTTCAGGCTGGTCTTCCAAAAGAGGGACAGCAGGTGTTTCAGCCTACGAGTCTTCTACCACAGCCAGGTATAAATTGACACATAACTGTGCATCCTTCCAACACAGCTCATCTCGTGATCTGACCTTGAATTTGTATTCCTTTCCATCAGGCAGCCCATAACTCCAGAGATGTGGCTTTAAGACAATCTGACTGGCGTTCATAACGTCCAACCCAAGTAGCAATGGCATACAAAGCTGCTCATCATTTATGACATGCACAGGGATGGTGATGTGGATATCATGAAATCCTAGTAGTAGGACAGTTTTTCCCTCTGCTTGACTTTCTTGTCCATTAGCCATGACAAAATTTGGTACTTCACTTCTACTCAGGGTTTCACCAGGTGTCCTTATCCTCTTCCACAGGCTTTGTCTAATGAGGGAATAATTACATCCAGAGTCGAGGGCAGCGTCTCCTGTAGTTCCCCGAATAGTTACAGGAACCACCAACAGGGACAATATCGCCTGAACTGCGGCCACCTCTCATCCATTTCCCCAGACTTGGCTGTGCTCAAACTTTCTGCCTGTTTTCTTTGATCTGTCCGAAGGGTGGGCCTGCTGCACTCTACTCCAGTAGTCCTGAGAGTTGCTCCAACCCCTTTCGATCAGCGACCCCACTTTCACGAGTAGTTCCACCGTGGTTACGATGCCTCTTAGACCACTGGCCAACCTGGGGTTGCAGACACTCAGGATTCTGCGGACAATTTCTTCCTCAACCATGTCCGGTCTCCACTTTAAGTACAGGGCTCGATGGTCATAAGCAAAGTCCCTCACACACTGGTTTGGTGCTTGAACATTTGGGCCGAGCTGTTCCTCTATTTCGGCATGGTAATCGGTAGGCAGGAATACTTCCAGGAATGCAGCCTTAAAGTCAACCCAATCCTTTATTTTAGTCCATGTTGCCAGCAACAGCTGCATGCGGGTCCTTTCAGAACAAAGTTTAGAGTGCCTAGGAGCTCCACATCTGACAAAGGTCTGAGAGTTAAGAAGTTCTCACACTGTTCTATAAAATCAGTCACATCTGAGGTGCTGCGGGACTCCCCAAACTGAGGAAAGTCCATCTTAATAGGGGGTCTGGCAGCAGCATAATGGGATGTCTGGGCAGCTTCTCTCTCCCCTGCCAGTACACTAACGTGCCTGTGGGCGGCTGGAGTTGAATAACTAGATGGTCCCCAAGAGCGAGCACCTCTGTCAACTGTTTGTTTTAGCTCCTCCGACCACCGTTTGTCCCTACGCTTGAGACATGCCATGACCTCTTGGTCCAACTTCTGGAGGTGGTCCTCTACATATTCCTTTATCAAGACAGAAGAGGAGTCAATAGCAACCTGAGTCCCTCCTTTTGATGGAGAGTGCTGTCAATCGCCTCTCTGAGGCATTGTTCCAAGGCCTCAACTTTCTGCTGGAGGTCCGAGAGTTGTTCTGCCAATGGCTCAGCTTCTGTGTTAACCCCAGCGTCTGCTTGAACCACTGGTTGATCCGGATACATGCTATTGAGCATGGAGGTTAAGTGAGTTACATCTGAATTGCCTGGTTTTAGCCTGACTGTAACATGTTGGTGGAGGCATGCATCTTCTGCAAAGTGGAAGGTTGCTGGTCAAATTTCCCAAGGGATGCTGAAAGCTGATCAGATGCAGACTCCTCAGAGGAGGAATCTGAATGATTTGAAGCAGACATAACTTGAGTTAGGGTCCTCTAGGCGCTGAAATGTGATGCTGTATGCAGAAAAAAAAATCAGTATTTGTATAATATATGTATGGATGTAATATATGTAAAATATGTTGATTCCACAAATAGCAAAAAAAAAAACAACAACTTGCATTTATGCCACTATTCCAACCCTTAAAGTTCACCATATACTTTCCCTACACCAAAAATTTACAAACACAAATTAGAGCCATCAACACTTGTAAATGAAAACAAAATCAACTCAGAGTGGTTATAAAGTAAAATACTTGTGCCTGAATTAATTTAACCTTCCTTCACAGTCTAACAAACAACAACCAAAAATTATACATATAGCAGCCAAACTCCACAAGAACACTAGCTCCCCGTACGGGCCACCAGATGTAACAACCTGCTCCCACCACTGCGATAATAGGGGGATTAATTACATAACGCTAAATATGTCACGGGCAGTGTCTGGAGTTGACGTGCTTAAAATTTATAATGGTTGAGCAGAAAGCATAACCTAGTAAACAGAAAATAATTCACCCCACATGCAAAAAAAGCTCT